TTGTAAGTTTTAGTTTAAGTATTGATATATTATAAGAAATTGTAGTATCATTTTAATTGGTCTGAATGATTTCAAGTTTTGAAATAAATCTTGACTAAGTAATGTCATTAAAAAAAAAAGGTTTATCTTTGCCTTAAGCAAGCCCTGTCCTTGTTCTTGTGCATCTAGGTTAACACACCTTTGAAATGCCAGAGTAATCCTCTTTTATAAATACCTCAAAGGAGTAACCTCCTTGGAGGGAGCACATAATCTTGTTAGATATTCTGCACCTTGCTCTCTTCCACTTTCATGTGATCTTCCTTACAATCCCTCCTTTATTGCAAATGTATAAAAGAAAATGCAAAACCGTCATTCTCTGAAACATCTGAGATCTTGCTTCCAGGCATGACGCCAGTTTGGCTGAACTCTTGCAAAAATTCTCTACAGATTTGAGTATTTCTTATGTCAACAGGGAGAAGATGGCCATCTTTAAGCCAAGGGGAGGGGCCTGACACAGATTCTTCTCTTAACAGCCCTTAGAAAGAACAAATCATGCCTACACATCGATTTTATACTTCTGGCCTCCAGTACTATGAGACAATAAATTTCTGTTGCTTAAACCACTCAGTTTCTGTTACTTTGTTACGGCAGCCCTAGCAAACTAATACATGAATCAGAACTGAAGTTAGTTCCTACAAAATTCTAATTTACCAAGGCTTTCATTCCCAAATTTCATAATTCTGATTTTGTCAGATTTGTTTCCCTGGGAAAATAAGAATGAAGGAAGAGAATTAGTTAGCTAAATTATGGAGCTTGGGATCACTTGATCCTGGCTGGGTGCCTGTATTGTAGCCTGGAAGACAGTATTGATGGCTGTAACACCAACTAGGTGGTCACTTTGAGCAAGTTCCTTCCTCTCTTAGGACCTAAATTTTTTCATCCATAAAAATGGAAGGATGGAATTATATAGTGTTGAACTTTCCTCTGTAGCTATGACTTTATTTATGAATAAAATCATTCACTAAATACCTCAAAAAATAAACGTAAAATGTTTTGAGGTTTCCTTTCAGAACATGACTGGTAAAGCAAAATATCTTCTAATATTTCCATATTATATATTTGCTTTTAAAAAACCATTTCTTAGCCTCCTCTTCCTGGATGAAAATCTCTTCAGTACTACTATTTTACTAGGTTAATAATTTCAATAAAAGTTTGAAAATAATCTATTAACATTGCTCCTAATTCAACAGACTACCCAATCCTGCTAGAATTTCTGATTCTATTTCAGAAAACTGTCTAACTTCTGCCACTTGACTCCAACTCCTCTACCCACTGTCCTCTTCCAGACCTGGAATATTAATGCACTCACTTAACAGCTTCCTACCTCTCCTCTTCTGTTCCTGGTCTGACACCTTTACATTCCATCTTTTACATGCAAAGTGTTTTTCTAAAACTTAAATCTGATACATTATTCCTGTGTTTAGAATTCTTTAACAACCTCTAGCATTTCTTAATGTGGATTTTCTGTTCCACTTACATCAGAATTACTTGAAGAACTTGTTAAAAGTGTAGCCTTTAAGGATGTTCCTTGAAAACATCTCCAATAAGAGCTCAATAAAGAGTTGCTGAATGAATTAATGATCCCGGGAAAAAGGATTCTATATTTTATTAAAAATACACTAAACACTGGATGGTGTGCGCAGTGGTTAGAGCATCAGCCCACAGACTGAAGGGTTGAGGGTTTGATTCCTGGTCAAGGGCATGTACTTGGATTGCAACTTTGGCCTGGCACCGGTCTGGGCTGTGTGGGAGGCAACCAACAGATGTGACTCGCTCACATCAATGTTTCTCTCTCTCTCTCTGTCTCCCTCCCCTTCCATTCCACTCTCTCTAAAAATCAATGAAAAAATATCCTTGGGCGAGGATTAACAAAAAACACAAAAATATATACTGAAGTCTGAGAATCTCTGATACACAGAATAACATCCAAATTCTGTGGACTGGCACAGTAAGGAAGGCCCTTTACAATACGTACTCTGGCTAGTTCTCCAGACTCATCTCCTGCCATTCTTCATCTGTTCTCTGTAGTTAGCCAGAGTAAAATACACTTCGACTCATCAAAAGTGATATCTCTGGTCCTGGCCAGTTTTGCTCAGTGGTTAGAGCATTGGCCTACGGTCCTGAGAGACCTGGGTTTGGTTCCCGCTAAGAGCGCGGACCTTGGTTGCAGTTTGTCCCCGGCCCCTGTTGGTCGTGCGGGTGGCAGCCACTCGATGTGTCCCTTTTGCGTCGATGTTTCTCACTCTCTCTTTGTTCCTCTCTCTCCCTCCCACTTTACCTGAACAAAAAATGGAAAAATGTCTTCAGGTGAGGATAAAAAAAAAAAGTAATGTTTCTGAATCTGTTGGACATTCCTTTTTCCTGCTGTGCCCCCTTCTCCTTTGCTAGCTGTACAACTTAATCAGATTCTTCAGTGAAGCTTACCAGACACCTTCATATTTCTCTCTCCTCTATGCTTCCTCATAGCACGCTGCTATGGGACTATGATACTATCATTGTACTACTTTCATTTATCTCCATTTCTTCTTTCTGGACTGCATGTACCATGAGTTCCTCTAAGTCAAGAACACTGTCTCTCCCAGGGGCACTGGGATTATTTCCTCTTGGGCACTACTAGAGATATCCAGTACACTTTCAGGGGATCTAGAATCAAAACTACTTTTGTAATAATACTAAATCATTATTTGTCTTTTTCGTTCGTATTCTCATGAGTTTACAATGGAGCTACATAATCTGTGGCATTGCAAATAACTAAATACAAAACAAGATATGAGAATCCAGCTTTCTTCAATTAAGCCAGACAGTAAAGAGATCTATAAAAATTTAAAACAATGCCACTCTTCTCACTAATTTAGCAAAGTAATTATGTTAATATATTATGGGTTCAGTATTGATATTTTAAACATTTCTTAGTTGCAATTTCTAATATGGCAACTACTAATTAGATACACATTTTAAAAGGCTCTTTAGAGCCCTTAATATTTAAAAATGTAAAGAAGACCTCTAGACAAAAAGTTTGAGAACCAAAGCTCTAGTCTTTGCATAAACTGTTCAAATTGTACAAATTGATCTAAAGCAATTACTCATTATTTCCGCTTTCTGTCTCTCTGAACCATTTTTTCTTTCTCATTCCTCTTAATCTGTAACTATAAAGCTCTGGATAAAATTTCTGGGGGAAAAAATCTGTACCTATCTCTTAAGTATAATCTTTTGCTTCCCCTCTGATTCTCCTAATCTACCAGTAGATTGTTCCATAAATTTTAAGGGGTGTGCTAATCTTTCTGAGGCTGCTAAAGAGAGAGTCTTTCATTTCCTTCAGTGGCAGCAAAAATACTTTATACTTCTTCCATCACGCGTATATCTTTAGCTTCTACAAATAAAATGGACTCAATAGTCTTAGCATAATCTAAATATACATTAGATAACAGTGGCTGACATCTAATTTGATGAAAATGTACATATGCTTATTATTAAATTATGATAGAGCTCAGAGACTAGGAAAAGACTCTCTCCGTGCCTCAGTAAGAGGCCTGTTTCAAATTTTCAAGAATAGACAGATCTAAATCAGTGATGCTAAGAGTATTGTTAATTTCAAATTGTTTGGGGGACAATAATCTAATAACAGTAAGAAAAAAGCTACCAAATTCTTTGGGAAATTTCTGTTCTTGTTTTTTAAGTACTTCTGTAATCAAAGCACGTAGTGATAATGTTTCTCAAAAAACTCAAATTCTAAAAATTTCTTAACATTCTTACATTTTCTTCTCCTATACCTCACAAGGCTTTTTATTCTCTTCTTTACATCCCTGCTCATTATGACATGATTGCCGTATGAGGAAAAAGGCTCTCATGATTGTTACCTGTTTCTAAATCTCTTTTCAGCCTGTGCAACTCAGTAATGTCAGCTAGATGGGCACTGATCCCAACCTCGAAGATCCCGAGAAAGATGACACACCCTGAAACCACTGCCTTACTGCATAATTCACTGCACAGTCTGTATTCTAAAATAACAGAAACAGAACTAAAATATTGATTTGAGGGTTTTTTGCCTAGTTCCTATCTTCCAGCCCTTCTGTACGATTGCGCTGTTTTCAAAAATTAAAATTAACTTTAAACAACACTCGAGGTGCGGACTTTAGGTAACTCCTAGAATATAATCACGAAACTTCCGCGGGTGAAAGCCAAGCAAAGTACCAGGAGTGCCCAAAAGAAACAAAGAAGCTCAGGAAAACAATGGAAGAGCATTAAAAACAACAACAATGCGTGTCTACGAGAGAACGGTGCCTTGCAACTGCAGCTCGATTGTGGTGGGTTCTCCCAAGGCCCGTGAGATACAGGACCGGCGACAAACAGAGTCGGGGCAGTGTCAGGGCAAAGGGCACACCCTGCACCATCGGGGAGATGCCCGGGACCTCGCGGCTCGTCGCCGGCGCCCCGCATGACAGCTGAGCGCACCCCCTGCACACGGGCCGGACGAGGGTCCCGGCCTGTTTCGGAAGACAGCAGCCTCTCCCCCACCCACTTCTCCCACGGCTCCAACAAGGCTGTCACCCACCTCCGAGGGCCGTGCCCAGGAAGATACATTTCTTTTTGTGACGTTTGAGAAAATTCCACATAGATCTCAGCATCTTCAGGCCTGAGGGCGCGGGCTGCCTAGGGGAGAGGGGGTGGTGCACTAGGAAAGCGTTTCTCTGTCACCTGACCCGGACCACCCGCAGGACCGCCGCGGTCCCGCTCGGGGCTCACCAGAATCCACTTTCCGCAGGGACTGTCGCCGGAGCGGGAAGGGGGCGTGGACGACAGCAGAGCAGCTGCGCTTTGTGCAGCCGCCGCGCCGCCGCGCCGCCACCAACACGCACCCAGGTCCGTCCAGAATTCGCTCCCGGTGCCTCGCCGGTCGGCCCCCCGGAAACGGCGGCCCGCGCGCGCCGAGTTCCGGGCCGGCGCTGAGCGCTGAGCGCGGCATGGAGGCGGAGGCGGCACCCACGCCGGCTCCCGGCGGCGGGTGCTCGGTGTCAGCGGAGGAGATCGAAAAGTGGATGGAGGAGGCCATGCAGATGGTGAGGAGCCCTGGAAGCAGATGCCGCGCGGGGGTGGGGACTTCTCTGGCTCTCTTCCCTGCCCGATCATTTGCGTAAACGTCCCGGTGCGTTCTCGCCACCGCTGCCCCGCAGGCGCCACGTCCCCTGGGTGAACAGCGGGCTCGAGCCCCTCTCACAGCGGTTCTGGGGAAGGAAGGGCGGAAATACAGAAAGTATTCCTTTTTCAGGGGCATCAAGTCTACGTCAGATATCCCGATCCCGCCGCTGTTGGCACGTACGTGCGTCCCCTTCTTTCCCGTGAACACTCGCAGGGCCGCCGTCAGGTTATTTCGTATTCGTGGCCCCTGGAGCCTGTATTGTAGAAGGAGGGAAGCCGAGGACGGGTCTGGTAGGGAGTAGATAAAAAAACAAAAACAAAAAACCAAGTCCCTCTACAGCTAGATTCTCCCGTCCGTCCGTCCGTCCATCCATCCACCCATCCTACTGCCTTCTCTTCTTTCATTTCTTACCCTCGCTCTGATTAGATTTGTGTCTAATCCAAGCTCTACCCATACTTATGTGTGCCAGCGAACTCTTAAAGGGATGAAGTGTGTTCGGTGTATATATGTGTATGTATGTAAATACCAGCACACACACATATACACATATATGAAATACCCTTCAGTTTTACATTTCCCTAAAGCTACTGTAAAAGAAATCTTTTTCATAACACTTTCTGTATTATATTCTTTTCCTATAGCTAATTAATTCATAATTATGTCTTCACTCCACGGAAGTTTCTTGAGTGCACTATGCTTGGCAGAAGGGCTTCAGCACTGAAACCGTTTTCAGTGTCTGCTCTGGTATTATTCCCTGCACTCAAGCACTATTACAGCCAAGTATTTTCTCCGAGGCATGAGACTGTACCGCATCCATGCATTTGTTTCTGATACTAACGTAATATTCTTTTAAACTTGTTTCTTACACTTTTTTGAAAGTGACTCACAGTAAAAAAAATCTGTTTTATATTACAACCCAGTAAACACTCATGCTATAGTTGACACAAAAGTTTTTCAAAACCATACTTAACATTCCTATTTGCTGTTTTCCTGGTATTTCTTTATTGAGGTTCAATGACCCACTAACTTGATTTCATGGCCTCTTCTTGAGCCCACTTGAAAATTTATTTCCTCCACTAAACTTACATGACACGTAACCTTCTAGTTGAAATTTTAAATAATGTTCACATAAGCATTTAAAAATTAATTTGTAATTTATAATATAAATGTATTTGTCCTGCACTCCTTTTGTGCATTGGAAACAAGAAGTTCTCATGAGATATCAAAATCTCACTCTCTTTCTTCCAAATCTTTTCAATAATATGTGCTAGGCAGCTTCTTAATAAATAGTGAGGATGATAATAAATGCTTGCGAAGGCTGAAATGTCTTAGAGTAAGCTGCATTTGTATCCCGAAGGTGATACCAGAAAGCTGGGTAGTCAGAATCTGTGGTCTCTTTCATTTCTGTTCAATAGCTTCAGAAACTCTCCTCAAAGTATTTATATGTGGAGTTTGCTTAGATTAAATTTTCAGAAATAGAAAATGAAGTATTTCAAACTTTAAGTAGAAGGAAATGGTTAATTAAATCCTCGCATGTTACTGTGTTAAAATAATATGCTGTTATTAAAATATAAAACATAATGTTAAATATCACAATTACATGTGATATTAAACATTAAGCAAGCAGATGCAAATTATTTTACATTATACGTACAGCTTTGGAGGTTAGACTAGCCTATGTGCAAACCCTAGAATGGCCACTGACAGCAAAATAACTTTGACAGATTCTTTTTTTCTTTTTTTTCAGTAAGTTTTTGTTGGTTTTTTAGAGAGAAAGAAGAAGGGAGAGAGAGAAACATTGGTGTGAAAGAGAAACATCTATTGGCTGCTTCCTGCACGCCTCCTGCTGGGGATGGAGCCCCCAACCCAGGCATGTGCCCTGACTGGGGATCAAATGGCATGGGATGCTGCTCAATCTACTGAGCCTCACCGGCCAGGCAACTTTGACAGATTCTTAACCTGTTAGTCTCAGTACCATCTATAAAATGGGTATAGCTATCTCTTAGGATTGTATAGATTCAAAGATATAATGTCTGTAAAGCACTGACAAAATACACTCAATAAACAGAAGCTGTTTTTATCAAATGAACAAGGACTAGGGGAGAATACACCAAAATAATTCGTTAACATGGTAAAATTATGGGTCATTTTAAAGAAATGTATCAATATATTGTTGTAGTAAAAATATAAATAATCTTATTGAAGAGATAGAATCAAAAATGTAAAATCAGAAAAGAACCAGTAGTAAGTAAATGTTAGCATGTATTGGGACTTGGAATGAAGATGGACTCTTCAAAGCCGAGGTCGGGAACATCCAGCCTGTGGGCCATATAAGGTCTGAGAATCAGTACCAGCTAACATCACACACCTCACCAAATTAGCCTGACCAAATATAACAGGCTAATTTTTAAGTTGATAATTTCATGTGCCCTTGAATGATGTTATAAATATCCAAGTGGCCCTTAGCAGAGAAAAAGGTTCCCCACCTCTGCTTTAAAGTATATCACCAAAAGCAGAAAACTTAAAAGAAAATTTGATAGGTTTTAATTGCATAAATACTGAAAGCATCTAATATTAAAATGACAAGATACAAAGTAACAAAGCAAATGACAAAGAGGGAAAATATTTGCAAGATATATAAAAGGACAGGTTTGATAACCTTCATTTATAAAGAACCTTTACGATGTACGTCCTAATATTGAAAAAGTCAAGGAAATGAACATGGTGTTTCTAAATGAAATACAAATAGCTAGCAAGTAAGTGATCAAATGTGAAATTTAACTAGTCATAGAGAGATACAAATTAAAAAGAGGTACGATTTTTCGCCTGTTGAATTGACAAAGGTGAAGCTTGATACTTGCTGTTTGTGAGGGTGTGTACATGAAGAATTGGCTGGTTGGTTGCTGAAACTGGATCAGCCTTTCTAAAGGGCAGTTTAGCTATGCAGATATGAAAAAGCCTTAAACCTGGGTTTGTCCTTTGATCCAGTAATGCCAAAAATACCAGTTTATAGTAATTTTTTCCAAATTTGGGGGGAAATATATGTATATATATTTTAATCCTCACCCAAGAATATTTTTCCATTTATCTTCAGATAGATGGGGAGGGAGGGAGAGAGAGAGGGAGAGAGAAACATCACATGAGAGGGACACATTGACTGATTGCCTCCCGCACAACCTTGAGCAGGGCCAGGCCAAACTGAAACCAAGGTACGTGCCCTTGACTGGAATTGAACCTGTGACCCCTTGGTCCTTTACGATGCTTTAACTGCTGAGTCAAAGCGGCCAGGGCCAAATGAAAATATTTTAATGTTTTCTTTTTCTGATTATAACACCTAGTCGTAAGAAATTCAAACTATAAAAAAGATTTAACGGACTAAGGAATAATTACCTAAAATTGTATCATCAGAGATACCATTATAAGCATTTTAGGAGCCTCTTTCCACATATCTCTGTCCATATGTAAATAGGCACATATACTTTTTCTTATGTTAAAACTCTGTGCTAGGTTTTTTTTATCCTCACCCGAGGACATTTTTTGCATTTATCTCCAGATAGATGTGGGAGGGAGAGAGGGGGGAAGAGAGAGAGAGAAACATCGGTGCCAGAGAGACACCTTGACTGGCCGCCACCCACATGACCCCAACAGGGGCCGGGGACGAACTGCAACCAAGGTACATGCCCTTAGTGGGAACTGAACCCGGGACTCTCCGGTCCAAGGGCCGATGCTCTAACGGCTGAGCCAAACTGGACAGGGCTGTGGTAGGTTTTTAAAATTTTGGTTTTTGACATGTCTACTTTTAAATCAATGGAATTGTAGATTCTCTCTTTGATTGTGAACACTTTGCCCCTGCCCCCAGCCTTAAATATTTCTTATTTTGGTTTATCTTGTTCTCACGCACATCCCATGATAATTTTATTTCTATGGAATAGATTACTAAAAGTAGGACACGGGATGTATGTGTTTTCTTTTCTTTCTTTCTTTTCCAAAGTAAGAAAGAATTTACTGGCCGCAGCAAACACACTTAGGACGGTGAAATGAGGAAGGGCATAGACGAAGCAACAGGAGGGCTGGGCTGGGCTGCTCTGGCTCACTGGGAAGTCAGAGAAAAGGGGCCTTGGAGACAGGTTCAGGGGGTTAGCCCGGGACAAGATGCCACTGCCCTTTGCTCCCCTGGTTGCAATTCTCCTGGGGTCCTTAGAGGGAAGAAGGGGGAAGGGAATGGTGCTGGTGGTCCCCTGGGAAGTGTACTCCAGGATGTATGTGTTTTAAAACCATAAAGATATTCTTTGATTGCCTTCTAGAACCATGCTGCCCACTACAGCAGCCCCTAGCATGTGTGACTATTTAAATTAAGATGAAATAAAATTAAATATTCAGTCCCTCGGTCGCATTAGCCACATTTCAAGTACTAAGTAGCCACACATGGCTAGTGGCTACCATATTGGACAGTGTAGATCAAAGGACATTTCCATTACTACAAAAGGTTCTATTGGATGGCACTGGTCTGAAGGGTCACGATTCCATCACCAGTATATAAGGACGTTCTGTCCTAACCCTGTTCCCATTAGCCCTGGAATGATCACTTTTTAATATTTGACAATGTTATAGGCAAGAAGTAACATCTGTGTAACTTTTTTGTTGTTATTCTTTGATAAAGTTATCAAACTTTAAATAAAGTTATCTACTTATTGTTTTCTAAAAATCACTATTTTTCATGTCCAGTTTTCTTTTGGAGAGCTAAGCTTATAATAAAGGTTATTGTTTTAATCATCACAGCATCTAATTCTAAGGATATAGGCTTGGAAAAAAATAAGAATAAGTAACAGTGTTGCACTCGTTATGTTGTAGATAGTGCTATGCACAGTGTTTCATATGGGCCATACTATGTTAGCCCCACAGTAGCCAGTGAGATGGGTA